AATAAGGAATCCTACTTCGCGGAATTTCATTTATCACGGTAGGGTCTAGAACCGATTAACCGCGATAAACGAGGGTTCACTGTATACCTCGAGCTCCCCCCTTCCTATGGGCACACCCCTAGCTCATCCCCTTCCTGTCACCCTTATGCCTATCATACATTCCCTTTCTGTGATGTGTAGGCCTATTGTACTAGCTCTTCCTGTGACATGTGGTTACCTGTAATCACGCGCCCCTAAGCAGTTATAACCCTTGGTTAGCAATAAAGTGGGGCTCTCCTGCTCTTGCTCCTGGGCTCCCCCCACGAGGACCACCAAGCGGGGCTGAGGTGGGCACGCTACCATGAGCTGTCTGACTCCATTATTTCAATCTCTTCTATCTCTCATGCTATGACTTCCCTATAATCTTTACTTATTGCCGTACAATTGCGCCTACTGGATCGGTGATGATTTGTTGGAGTCCCCCCACCTCCTCTGCAAGCCGCCACAGGACACAAGGCCTCCCTGGCTGATGCCCTGCGGAACATTTTTTTCAGGCCTGGCTCTCCTCCCCAACTAGCCAGGCACGGAGTGCAGAGGTGTCTGACAGAGGTGGGGAGTCAATCCGGGGGTGAAGAGAAGTCCAGGGTCACAGCTCAGCTGGGGTCACAGCTCAGTCAGGTTCCAGGGGTTGGGGCTCAGTGGATTTCGGAGGCAGTAAGTCCTTATGGGGGCAGACGTCTTCTTTTCCCCACACAGCATCTGGGGGAGTCAAACTGCTGATCCTGTGGTATGCAGCCCCAATTGTAACCCAGGGTTCCTGTTAAATGACTGGGGAGGTCAATGTAAATGTGAGATGCTGTGGACCCCCCAGGGGATTGGCCAGTTTGCTGATAATGCAAATAAGGTGTAAGGTACCCATGTGGCTGTATGGAAACCTAAGGAGGGGATTGGCTGCATTTGCCACCCAGCTAAGCTTAAATCTCCCTGCCATCAGGAAAGGTGAGCCCTGCCCAGAATCCTCTTGACCCAAGCAGGGGCTGTGGATCCCAGACATCGGAGACAGCAGGGATGAGAGATGAGGCCAGTTGGGGCAGCAGAGCAGGCCGATGGGCTTCCCGGCCTGCCTGGAATGAGAAAGCCCGATGTGTTCAGGCAGGAGACTGGCTGGTGGCACTAAGCCATCCGTGGGGGCAGCTAGGTTTACGGAGCTGGACCTGTGAGCCTTTGGGAGAGGTGGATGCTTCTGGCACTCACTGGCAGAGCAGTGCCCAAGGGGCCTTGAGTGGACCTGTGGACACGATTGAGAATTGAGAAGAGGCTGTCCTGCTGGAAGAACTGCATCCCAGGTAATTTCCGATCCTGAATTGCAGCCGGTTACTTCCCTAGTGAACC